TGTTACCAAATTGCTACCAGAATCATCAATATTGTAGAAACTGCTATTCTTTTTGCCACTTATAATCTCTAGTACCAATACTCCAAAGCTGTAGACATCAGACTTCATGGAGAAATAGCCACGCATTGCATATTCTGGAGACATATAACCACTGCAAGTAAAGAATCCCTTTTTAGCCTACAAGCAACCACCAAACAAAGTGTTTAGAAAAAAAAGTCAACTTATGATAGAAAGCTTACAATGTTCCGGCGATTCTTCTTGTGTTGGCTTGACTTTGATCAACACCAAAAATCCTTGCCATGCCAAAATCTGCAATTTTGGGGTTCATATCAGCATCTAAGAGAATGTTACTCGCTTTGAGATCACGATGTATGATTGTAAGCCGTGAATCTTGATGAAGATATAGAATTCCTCGAGCAATCCCCCCAATGATATTGTACCGTCTTGTCCAATCTAGTTCACCTTGCTTTGCAGGGTCTATACATCGCAATGATATGAATCATTAGTTACAATAAGGACACCTTGGAACTTAAAATATTTAGGCTCATTTCATACCAAAGAGGAAATAGTCAAGGCTTTTGTTGGGTACAAACTCATAGACGAGTATCTTTTCTTCTCCTTCCAAACAAAATCCAAGAAGCCTGACCAGATTCCTATGTTGAAGCTTTGTCACAAGAACAGCCTCATTCTTGAACTCCTCTGCGCCTTGTCCTGATGTTTTCGACAATCTCTTCACTGCTACTTCAGGTCCACTTGAAAGCTTTCCCTAAAGAAATAAGATGAGTTAAACTTTATACAGAGAAGTAGCAAAGCAGGAAGAGAAAGAACTAATTACCCTGTAAACTTCACCAAATCCACCTCTCCCGATCATGTTACTGTCCGAAAACTTGTCAGTTGCAGCTTCAATTGTCTTAAAACTAAACTGCAGTGAGTGTGTTGTTGTTATCTCATCAGTAGCTGCACAAAGAAAGTGAAAAACATCTTCTTCATCATCCACTTTTCCAGAATTTGTACATAACTTACTTATGGAAGCTGGAAAAGAAAATGGGGAAAAACATGAAAAAACAACCAACCTTGAACCTCAGTTGTTTCATATGATTTCTTTCTTCTACAAACCACGAATAGTACAACAAGTGAAACCAAGATAACAATGATAGGGACAACAATAGCCACAATAATCCCTGTAGAAAATGATTTTCCATCTACACAAGCCGCAAATCATTGCAAATGAGTGATTCAATTATATAAGGTTTCAACAGATTCTTGTTACATATCATATGAAGGACATTACCTTTGATGGTTGTATTTGCTTGATCGCTAACCAGAGGAGGAGTCAAAGAAAGCGGTGGCTGAGGTAAAGACTGTGGTGGAGGCGGTGGCAATGTAACATTCTCAAAAGCACCAGCATAAGGATACAAATCCCACCGGACAAAGCAACTCGGTCTTATTACCGCACCACCTTGTTTACCACGACAACATGACTCATAATCACCAACACTTTTCTTCAAACAAAACTCACAATCTTTCGAAGAAACATCCGGCGTACATTGCATCATCGCATACATAGTTTGGAAAGTAGTCAATGAAGCAACCTCAGCTGCAAAGTACTTTTGTCCAAATGATGATCCATTACTACTACTCACTGAAGCTGCAGTTATTGTATGGAGCATTAACTCTTCCCAGATTCTATCAAACACTGTTAAATTAGTACCCGTATCTTCGATATCTCCGGTATGATACAGAGTTTCAGAAGGTTCCATAACGAGTTTACCAGAGAAAGAAATGTTGGAATAACGTACCATACAACAATCAGGCCATGTATAAGCATCTGTTTGGTTAGGACAACTCTCTGATATCTTGTCTGATGCACCTTTGATACAATCTGAACAAGTCTCTGGTTTAGTCCCAGGGATGCACATGCCAATGATGAAGACTCTATTGGGAGCTTGACCAATCTTGGAGTTGAAAAAGCTGTTGTGAGTTGTGACATTAGAAGGAAGAGTAGAGAGGATTTGACGACGGTTTAAATCGTATGTACTATTGGGTTTAAAGAATCCACTGAAACAGATTTCTTGAGCAGTAACAGAATCTAAGCTTATGAGAAAAATCAAGAAGGTTGGTAAAAATGAAATCTTTAGCTTCATGCTCTCAAAAATCAACAAAAGGATTGTGCTTTAGATGTTAGAAGTTAGAGAGTCAACTTCAAATACTGTTTGGAGCTACTCTGAAGATTATCCATGCCTAAGAAGATGAAAAATTAACAGAGCCGGGTGTGCGTTGACTTTACCAAACCCTTAAAAGCTGGTAAAGATAACAAGAGGACAAGACATAGAGACCCCACTAATGAAGTATTGATGATAATAAAGAAAATCAAACAAGTAGATTGTGAAATAATCAGACGATTCCTTGTTAATTGTTATGTATGTTACTCTATTATTGTGTACATCAGATTCGTCGAAAACCAAACAGAAAAACAGAGGAAATGAAACTGTTGTCGGAAACATAAAGTTAGAGAAACTTTGGAGTTAACATCTAAATTTAAAAGACCAAAAATTTACATGAAAATCGTTTTCAATTCATACATCAGAATCCCAAATTAGGTTCCAAAAAAAGAGTGAAACGAAACCCTAAATCCGTCCAGAAACCACAAAAAGTAATGCCCAAATTGATGAAGCAAACCGTAATTTGGTCACCACTCACCAGAACGAGAGCGTTTACTTGTGGTTAATAATGTTAATGGGCCGAAGAAGAAATATAAAGAGGCCTTTTAATAAACGAGCCATTTAAGTTTTGAATAATACTAGATTTTAACTCGCGGTACACCGCGGGACTATTTTATTTTTTTTAAAATAAAAATTTAATTTTTTTAGTCGATTAAAAATATATATGATTTAATGTTTTATATTTTTTGAATGTACAACTCTTATATCTGTATATTATTTAGTATACAATTACTATGTTTGATTTCTACTCTTTAAAAATATAAGAACAATAACGTACAGTTCATTAAATTAAAATCTAGATTATAACTAAATAATTTAAATTTTAAATATATTTATTTTGTTAGTATTATTTGTTTTGTTTAGTATTTAAGATAATATAATTGTATTTTGATTGTTATATCTAGGATTTCGCTCGTGGTATACCGTCTCGTATTACTATCAACCTAAACCCGTCCTACCATCAAATCCCGTTCAGTGAAACTAGACTTATCTAATGGATTGCATAAGTGGTATACCATCTCGTATTACTGTCGACCCAAACTCGTCCTACCATCTAACCCCGTTCAGTGAAATTAAACATTTTGTTTTTGTTATTTTTGTTTTAATAATACTTTAATTTAAGAGATATATAATTTAAATTTTTTCTTTCAAATGGTTATTTAATTGTTATACAGTAAAACCTCTATAAATTAATAATGTTGGGACTGCAAAATTCTATTAATTTAGAGAGGTTTTAATTTATCGATAAATTAATATTTATTAAATATTAATTTATACAGAGATTTTCTTAATATAGTAACTTTTTAAAAATTTCTATAAGATATTTTTCATTATAGAAAATATCTTTCGAAAATCAATTACAAATACAAAATAATATCATGTCTAGAAAACAACACCAAATTTTTTTGATACAATAACATATTAGAACTAAATTTCAAATAAGAATAAATACAAATTTAAGCAAAACAAATATTAGAAATATATTTCAAAAACTTTCTTACATATAATATATATATATATATATATAGTGTATATATTTATGCAATTATTAATTTATGATATTGATGGGACCATATATTTACATAGGACTTTCAAAAAAATTATTATCTTATTAATTTATCGATTTGTGTCACTTTTTACATTGGTCCCAACTTGAGACCGGAAAAATTTATTAATTTATAGAGGTTATTAATTTATCGAGTATTAATTTATAGAGGTTTTACTGTATAATCCATACATTATAATATTCTAAACACGTTCCACCATCTAATCCAGTTCGGTAAAATTAAACATTATTTTTTTTTTGTTCTAATCATATTTTTATTAAAAGATTTTTAATTCAAATCAATTGAAAAGTTTTCTTTTGAAATGGTTATTTAATTTTATAGATTTCGTATATTATATATATTCTAAACGTTTTTCGTTAAATATTCTAAACATTTTATAAACTTTAAATAACTATAATATTTATCTTTTATAAAGTATAATATTAATAAAATCGTAAGATTTCTCCTTTTTAAAAGTAATTAGAATTGATGAAGATATATTAAATAAGGAAATGCTAATAATTAAGAATATTAATTAATTGATAATAATTAATACCAATGGCATTCTTTGTAAATAAGTTCCAACTTGAGGATTTATTTGCTAAAATGATTGCAAAAATGTATATGTATATAGAAAGTCAGACATTGCTTAGGTGGAAAGAAGGTCTGAGTTTATATATCGTAAGAGTCATGTTAATGAGTTTATAAATGATAATTTTGAAACTAATAATTTTGAAACTAAATAAATCATTGAAAACAAAATAATAGTATAACTTTTTCTTCCTTCATTTTAATTAACGTTTTCACTTTTCACCAAATTCTCACAATCTTATATTTTTTTGGGTTTCAGTTGGATATAATTTCAAATACATGCTTCTAAAGATTAAGAATTTTTTTTTATGATCAAATGAGCACAATCATTATTTATAAACAAAGTTATTATAAAGATGAATTAGTATATGTTAAGTTAATAAATATTAAGAAGTGCTGAAGCAGGTTCTAACTGTTTTAAAATAATAAAGTGAATAAAAAAAAGTATTAAAAATCAGGTTAGTCACTTTTTATAGGAATAAAAAAATTTATATGAAAAAAACCGGGCGAAGAATGGATCCTTGGTTTTAATACTTCAAAAAAATTATGCTACACCATCTTTAATATTTGAGGGCCCTAGGTCTAAACAAGTTTATATTTTGGAGACTCGAGGCAAATGTTTTTTTTTTCTTACCCATAGGCATGGTTCTCAGGGCATCTAATAAAATTTAAAAATACAGAGAAAATTAGCATGACCCTGCGCAAAGATGACATGCTTAAATCAAGAAATGGTTCAAATTTTTTAGTTTGATCCATCGAACCCTAGATTTCCATTTTTTTCGTTTCTGCAGCTATGGGTTCATCGTCCAGTGGAGTTTATTATTCTGCATCATGGGTTCATTCCTTTTCCGGGTCCGTGAGACTTGGAGATTCTTTGTTCTATCTTTATCTTAAGTCGAGTAGTCGATACACAAGAGAAGATAGCGAGATAATGGATGAGAGAGACAGTGAGCAAACCGTAATCTTGGTTTTTTTATTTCATTGGTTAAGTAGATAAAAACCGGTTATAAACAATCAAACCAAATTAATTTCCTGTTTCCTGTTATGACCAATCTAACATTTTGACTTGACGTCCATATCCGTGGGATCCAAGTTTCATATGTGAAATTAACAAGTAGAAAATAATACCGATTGATTTTTGATATGTATGGATTTTTGTTTCAAAATTTTCATTCAGTACAGAAATATCACAAAGTGAACCCTTTTAATCACTCATAAAAATCCTGTTAACTATTTGATACAGAAATACACATTTTTTTTTAATAAAAAAAAGCACAAATCATGAGTGTTCTGACGGGAACAAATAGGTTTATGCTCGTGGTAAGCAACATGAACGTAGCAGCTGGAAACGAAATTGGCTATCCAGGAATTGGACGCGCGATCATCAACCATGACAAATGTCCACCCGATCAACCGGTGAATCCGTACCATCCGGATTCCGGGATGTGGAAAAACAAACAGATATTGTCGTTGTCCACCTCCACCAGTTCATCCTCAAAAAATGATATAATAGGAAAAACAAGGTCCATGTGAAATATAATGTAACTAAGCCCTATGAATAAAGACTACGGTTTGCTTTTGTTTAATCCAACTTATTCTCTATATATATTTCCTTAATATGATGCACAACTAATTTCCGGTCAGATGGCTTTCCCAAACACCAATGACAAAAGATTTTACAAATGAAGTTACCTTATTTCACAAACAAACTTTTGTTAGAGAACCGGTTCTTGTTGGAGAATGTTTGTATATGTAATACAAGTAAATGTCTATACAATTTCTGTAGATTAGTTTAAATGTATCATAACGTCTAAAGTAGAGTAATGATAATTCATTCATATACGCAAACCTGTTGATGCTAATTAAGACAACAAAACAAAACAGGTTTGCAGATATGAATTGTGATTGTCAAAATGTCAATGGAACGTTCTTCCATGTACTACTATTACTTTATTAAGGGTCCTGTCTCTTTGTTTTTATCAACGGCTCTAGCTAGTGACTTTTAAAATTATTTCTTCTCATCATAGTTTTTGTTAATTTCTGTTCTTAGTTTAGTTATTTAATTTAAGTCTTAAACCATAAAAATTAATAGAATTGTTATTTGATGACCACTAAGTTTTATAAGAGCATCTTTAAGATTAAACAAAAACTTTTAAGCAGAAGAGAGAGAACGAGTCTTTTAAGCATAGTTTTGAGATCTCAGATTCAACTTTTTCTTCTTATTTCTTGTTGTTGTTCTTCTTCTTTCTTTTTCTTCTTCTTCTTTGTTTCTTCTTCTTAAATCTTGTAGTATACGATCATGGAATCTGAGGGAGTGTCACTACCGTTGATCCACGAGCATCTTATGATGCCTTTGAATGATCTGCGGAAAGGTGATTGTTGTGGACGCTCAGAATTTTACAATGGTGGCTATTACTGCGAGAGTTGTGACATCTTTGTTCACAAGAAATGTGTTGACGAGTCCTCTGAGTATATCGAACACCCATCTCACTCTGTTCACACTCTTAAGCTTCAAAGTAAACCACAAAACAGATGTGATTTATGTGACAAGAACATGGATCTAAGCTATCGTTGTGAGGCCTGTGACTTCGACGTGGATCTATACTGTGCCAAGTACCCACCACCAGGGGTTATTGATATATCCGAGACACATCACCACAAGCTCACCTTTCTGAAGGAGAGGATCCAGTTCCTTTGTAATGCTAACTGTTGGGAGGTTGGTTACGGGTTTTCTTACAGATGCCATGAATGTGATTTAGCCTTCCATGTGGATTTCGTATGGAATCCGCCGGAAGCAAAAAACCTGTTAGAGGTAAACCACCCTCACCACCCTTTACACCCTCTTAAGCTCCACATAGGTCAATCCCCGGAGTATTATGATGCTAAATGTCGTCTTTGCGCTCGAAAGATTGATGATAAAAAAATTTATCACTGTTTTTCCTGTAACTTCAGCTTGGATATGCTTTGTGTTTTAAACCCACCACCACAATCCTTTATGGATTTGAAAGTTCACGATCACCAACTCACCCCCCTCCCAAGACTCGATTCTTTTACATGTAATGCTTGCGGGTTGAAGGGAGATCGAAGCCCTTATGTATGTTTTTATTGTGGTTTCATGATCCACCAAGACTGTCTTTCCCTTCCACGCCTCATAAATATCAATCGGCATGATCACCGTGTTTCACGCACTACTATTCTTGGTGTTATGAATTCTGGTTGTGGTTTTTGTCGCAAGAAGGTGGATTGGACTTGGGGAGGATATTCTTGCCACATCTGTCCTGGATATGTTGTTCATTCGAAATGTGCTACTAGAAGGGATGTGTGGAACGGGAAAGAACTAGAAGGGATACCTGAAGAGGTAGAAGATATAGAGCCATATGTGGTAATTGATGAAATTACAATACATCATTTCAGTCACAAAGAGCATTACTTAAGATTCCACATTAATGGTGTTCTCTCCGAGGAAAGCAAGTGTTGCAGCGCTTGCACCCATTCCATTTTTCTCCAACCCTTCTATGGATGTATCGATTGTGATTTCTTTCTTCACCAAAATTGCGCTGAATCTCCTAGAAGGAAATGGCATGTGCTACATAATGACCGACTTACATTAGTTACAAGCATGGCTAAATTATTTACGTTTGATGCTTGTAATAGAATATCCAATGGTTTCATGTACCAGTGTGGGGATACGAAATTAGATGTTCTGTGTGGTTCCGGACTTACTGAACCTTTTGACCATCCAAGCCATCCACATCATCCTTTATACAACATTCCTCTAGCGCGAAAAGAAATATGCGATGGTTGCAACAAAGGGGTATTTCAAGTGTTTATGTGCATTGAAAGTGGTTGTGGATTTTCTTATGCTTCAGGTGCGCCACGTTACCACAACTGGTAAAACATAGAGTGGACGATCATCCTCTCTCACTATGCTATGGCGGAAAGGTAAGTGGAAAATACTGGTGTGATATTTGTGAGAAAGAAACGAATCCAAATACATGGTTCTACACGTGTAAGGATCACCGAGCTAGTTTGCATAAAAAATGCGTGATGGGAGACTTTTCAGGGCTCATGCCAAGAAGCACAATCGTGGTTAGCAACAGATCATATGAGGTGGTGCTCAACAATAGTATATCTCGTACATTTTGCAGGATGTGTGAGTTGCGTTGCATGTACCCTATCATCTTGAAGATGCTTGGAACCTCAAATCTTTTCATTTGCTCTTTTAAATGCCTATGGCTCTTAGTTCGTTGGAAAATTTTACGAGCAAAATGAAGATAGATCGTTGAATTTTCATTTTAGAGTTCAGTTATTATTCAGATATTCAATTACAAGTTTATTTTCACTATGAGGTGTTTCCCTTTATGTATTACTCGAAAATTTAACGGCATTATTTCAACCTTTCATATGATATGTTATACAGAACGTACTGTTGGAATAAGTTTTTGCTTTTTTTCAAATTAATGTAGATCTTGGACAACGTTTTAGAAAACGGTATTTTCTTTACTAGTGTATAACTATTCAAAGACATTTATCATGAATTCATGATATAGGAGATACCAAACAGGATGTAATGTTGGCACTATTATACGAGCTACCAAATAGAAGATACCAGACATTTATCACGAAAGCAAATATTTTGTTAACCGAGAACCAAACCGAAATTAACGACCCATAACTCGTGGGGCCATCGGAGATAACTATCACAAGAGTAAAGTGATTAGATGCATCCAAAACGAAACAGAGCAAGTCAGCAAACCGTAATTTTGGTTATCAGAAAGAGGGTTTCTTACTAATGAGTTATGATCAATAATATTAATGGGCCGAGAAGAAATAGAAAGAGCCTTTTAATAAAGTAGCCCATTTAAGTTGTGAGGGATATTAAAAGTCCAACATTGCTTAGAGAGAAACTAAAGGGAAAAACTACATCAATTGCCATTTTTTTGGCAATTTCTTACACAATCTGCCACATTTTTTCCTTCTTACATCACATGCTACATTTTGATCTGAAATGACGGTACTGCCCTCACCATTTCTTCTCTATTTTATCTCTCTTTCCTTGAGACATGTGCGCTTTAACCACACATCATTATCTTTCCGAAAACAAAATGAAACGTTTTTGTCTCTCTCTCACTTCTCCTGACAACATGCACAGATTCTCTACATGTATCTTTCAATTACTTTTGTCCCCCAATTTTATTCATCATAAATTCTCTATTGTGTCTAGATCTTGTCCCCCATTTCATCATCTTTCAAAATTATCATGAATCCCACATCTTAGCCACCAATTGTTCTCATTTAAGGGTTTCGAATTTGATTTAGATTTTTCACCATCTATTTTGGTCCACAGATTAGTTGAGCATTATTGTCTTCACCGACACGGATTATTCATTTTTTTTTCTTCTATTGTAAAATAACAAAAAGATCCAGTTATAACATATTATCTTGTCTATCATTCGATCTCAATTTGTCCCCGATCTAATTCTATTACTCATTCGATATGAACTTGTCCCCGACATAACATATTATTAAAATAAAATTATATGCAATTGTAAACGTGTAGGTGAAGACAATAACGCTCAACTAATTTGTGGACCAAAATAGATGGCGAAAAATCTAAATAAAATTCAAAACTCTTAAATGAAAACAATTACATATAAGATGTATGATTCATAATAATAGAGCAAGATGATGAAATCGAGTACAAAACGTCAACGCAATAGAGAATTTCTATTCGGGGACAAGA